GGCACCACTCTCCGAACTTCGAAAGCCAGATTTCCTTGGATAAAGCTTGTCTGCAATCTTCACACGCAACATCAGCTTTCCAGATACCACAGACCATTTTTTCAAAGCGCTCTGACAAAGTTAAAACATGTGAAGCTTGCAGCTCCCACTACATTGCTATGACCAAGAAGGGTAAAGGAATAGCATTATTACTTGCTCAAAAATCGAAGAGGCACCGCCCTCTGAATCTCGAAAGCCAGACTCCCAACATGATTACTTTCTCAAAAATCGAAGAGGCACCGCTCTCCGAATCTCAAGAGCCAGACTCCTAACAGGATTGCTTTCTCAAAAATCGAAGAGGCATCGTTCTCCGAATCTTGAGAGCCAGATCTCCGACAGGATTGCTTGTTCGAAAATCAAAGAGGCATCGCTTTCTGAACTTCGAGAGCCAGATTTCCTTGGATAAAGCTTGTTTGCAATCTTCACACGTAACATCAGCTTTCCTGATACCACATACCCCTTTTTTAAAGTGCTCTGACAAAGTTAAAACACGTGAAATTTGCAGCTCCCACTACATTGCTACAACAAAAAAGGGTAAAGGAATAGCATTACTACTTGTTGTTATGGAGACTCCTATATATGTCGACCTCCATCCTCCACGGATAGGCAGACCTGCAAAAATGCTCAACCCTTCCTCATATCTGAGAGGGCATTCCCAACGAAGCCTCTCGAAATACTCAGTTTTCTTCCCCCCTCAATAATACCTATGCAAACCAGCCACACCAAAGCAAGAGTATCTCATATCATAAGGGTCAAAAGCAAGAGTATCCCATATCATGCTTTTTCCCTGTCTTTTCCTTTGCCCTTGTTCTTACCTGCAAGGCAAGGAGAAAGAGAGCAATCAGTCAGCACTTGGAATCAAGCTTCCAGTCAAGAACTGACTGCCTGGAACCCCTTGCCTGATTACTTACCTGGCATTGCTCTCGAGTACTCATCTTCAACATCTTATGCTTCTAGAAAAGATACCACATATGCCTGAGGAACATATAGGGCCAGTAAGAAGGATACAAGGAAGCAAGTGGAGACAAGCGCAACAGAACACGTGCCGATTCATCTATTACTTCGTCAACAGCAAAAGTATCTCATATCATCAAGGTCGAACGCACTCTTGATTTGATGGACTTGTTTTGACCCTCAAATTCTTGAGTCGGCCTTATACTCTGGAGGAAACCAGAAAACCCTTCAGCCCAGTTCAAGAATACGTCTGTGGAAAGTTACTTCTTCAAAAGAAAAAGTATCTCATATCATCTCTTCTCCATTTGCTTATCCTTATCCTTGTTGCTGTTTACGACACAAAAAGAAGGAGAACAATCAACCGGAAGCCGAAGTCGAACCTCTGATCTAGGTTGCTTGCTTGGAAGTCTGATTGCTTACCTTGTCTGTTACCTCTTTCGGCAAATCTCCTAGCTCGGCGACTTGGGGGACTCCTACTATAGGGTTTTGTATTGCACTTGACCAAGCCCGAAACTACAAGTAAGCTTCAAGTGAAATTGATACATTACCTTGTGCATCTTCATCGGTTAAAGATACCACCCCTGGATGGAGGAAAAGTACTTCTAAAGAAGATGTCACATCTACGTATGAGACAGATAAGGCAAGTGAAAATGATACCACACTTCGGTACTTAGAAGTTTCGTGATTACTCAATGGCTTGGATCTTGCAAGTCCCCAACCGAGGAGCTTCCCTCACTCGGGAACTTAGGGGAGCACTGTTTGTACCATACTTGACCAATCCCGAAACTACTGAGCACCGATCAACGTTATACCGTCAAGGACCCAGAAGAGTTTCCCTCCAACTAGGAGGCCAATCACAGCGTGACACATGTCGACATCAGAAGCCAATCATAACGTGACACGTGTCAACATCAGAAGCCAATTACAACACAACACGTGTCAATGTCAGAATGAAACTAGAAACTCTCTTCTATAAATAAAGATCATTCTCTCATAATATTTCCTAATGTCATTTGTACTAAATCATTCACTAGTACTCACTAAAGGAGAGCTTGAACCTATGTACTTGTGTAAACCCTTCACAATTAATGAGAACTCCTCTACTCCGTGGACGTAGCCAATCTGGGTGAACCACGTACATCTTGTGTTTGCTTCCCTGTCCCTATCCATTTACTTATTTATCCACACTAGTGACCAGAGCAATCTAGCGAAGGTCACAAACTTAACACTTTCTGTTGTACCAAAGTCCTCGCTGATTTTGTTCATCAACAAAACTTATTTATTTATAGGGTTGAATAGATTGTGGAATTGTTGATCCTAAAAACTACCAAGCCTACGTGGCGCACATGCTAAGTAATTAATAAGCTAACTACATCATTCGGTTGTGTGCGGGGCGTGCCAACTCGTCGGTCAGGGAGTAAAATGTGTTGGTGTGGCGTTGATCGCATTGCTGACTTCTTGATCTTGCGACTGTGGCCGAGGAAGGAACACACTGAAGATGTGTTGGCGGAAAAAGAAAATAAAAATCTCAAGGTGTTTGAGAGGTTTGCGCAAGGCAATTTGTGTGTTGAATTGGACAGGGTTTGAATGTTGCACCCTCTCTTCTATTTATAGTAGCAAACCTCTCCCTGGCTGAGCTAGACTTATACTTGGACTAAAACTCCTCATCCTAATCTGATTAGTTTTTGGCGAATCTTAAACCCACTAGGACTTTGAACCGAGTTCTCAAACAAACTAGATTCATTTCCTAAACCTCAGCACCTTTAGCCTTGAAACTCCTTGTTGCACTAGGTCTCGACTACCTCATCGTTATCCAAACCAACCCTCCTTGCAGCAGGACTCGGCTAACCCATAACCCATAACCCATAACAAGATAAGACCAATGCTACTAGGTCAAGAACATTTCTAAGCTCGGCCCAAAATAACATTTTGGGACCAAACAGGAACATAGGGATATTTTAGTTCAACCAAACCGGCCAATCTGAATTTTAATGGCCGATTTAGTTTGGTTTTGAGCAAAGAAAATGTTAAATGATTTAAGCACCAAATTGAACTATAATAAATTTTTTATTTTTGTCAAAGAACGATAATGAATTTGTCTGGTTAAGATTTTGAGCTCCTGTGAACTAATTGATATTGAATTTGATTGCCACTACATATTGATAATTAAATATTATAAAACCTTCTAGCAACAAAAAGTCTTTCCTAACCAATCAAAATTGGTTTAAAAGGTATCTTACCTAAAATTAATTGCACTCTTACGTCAGCAAAAGATAAATAATTGTACGGAATGCCAATTATCTTTCAGATTAGTATATCTTTAATTGTGTGAAATTTTATTTGAACCCATATTATCTTTTTCTACATTCAACTTATTTTCTATACCTATATTATTTTTAATTAAATACTTAATATCTCTTTAAATCCAAATTTACTACCTAAACTAATCTCACAAACCCAATTCAAAATGTAAATTTATCTTTACACCCCTTTAGAAAATAAAATCTCAAATTGAATAATTTGGTGAAGCTTCTACTTGTTTATGGGAATTATTAAAGCTTTTTGGAGTTTGACTTCTGTGGGCAAGTTGAATAATTTGGTGAAGTTCGAACTTGTTTATGAATCTTCTATATATACTAATAATAATTTCTTTTTAGTTTCCCCTTCAGATTGTATAGCTTGAATTTGACAAACTATTGTGTTTGTTGAGAAGACTAGATGCACGGCAATGGCAAAAAAGTTAAAACAAACTTCAAATTAATTAAAAATATATCCAGAAAGAGTATTAGAGTTTTTTTGTCGAATTTGAAAGAATATTAGGTTAAAAGGGTGAAAATTCTTCAGCCTCCATCCTCATCAACTCAATGCCATTGCTACTCCTCTGTATACTTCTCCATATGTAGAAACGTGGAATTATAATATTTGCCAAAAATGCATGAAAGAGATGAGGCAAGTAGCATATGCCTAAAGCTTCGAGGAAACCAAATTGGCAGAGGAAACCAAACTGCATGAAAGGATGAGAAAACATGAAATTATAAGATTTGCCTAAACCTTTGAGGAAACCAAATTGGTAGTGTGGAGGTTTTGCCACCATATACATTGCGAAACTCAAAAACCCATCTTCTCCACTCTAAAAAAAGTTTTTTTTTTTTTCTTTCTATGAGAGCTTTTAGGGTTTTAACCGGAATGAAGGTAGGATAAACATTGTATGATGGTAGGGTTTAATTTCTGGGAGTGGGTTTATTGATAAATATTAGTTTTATTGTTAATTATATTTGTACTTGATGGTAATTATGCAATAGGAAAAAAAAAATCACATTTAAAGTTTAAGTTGGGTGTAGAGAGAAGTTATATGGATCCAAATAAAATTTTTCTTAATTACACATGGCATACAAAACCTGATTCAAGAAAGAACATAATTATCTGGAACAAATCGATTGATTTCAAAGACTATATGGACTATATGATATCGACATTATATCAATACCAGTGTTATAAGGGACTATTTGCTAATTGCTACGGTATAGCGTTATTTGAGAACATCGTTACCGTAAGTGAATACTTGAGAGCATTTCCCAAATCAATTTGATATCAAAAATACTATTCTTACTATTTATTTGTATCATCTTTTTAATAAAAATGAAACCCCGACAGACCCTACCTCTATTAAAAAGATGATACCCTATAGGTGTTTCGTTTTTCACAATCGGTCATTTTTTCATGAGACCTCATGACCCTTTTAGACAAGAATTGGAAACTCGTGACCCTTTTTGACGCTAACTTCGAACCCTCAATGGTGTAAGTATTTATTTATTTTTTTTTTTGAACAAGCAATGGGGTGAGAAAATAAGCTTAACCTCACAATGAACTGACAATAATGTAGTTCGAATTCATCTTTGACAAGAATCGAACCTAAGATCTTTCACTTAAAGGGAAGAACAAAGGAAAAAGAACAGAGGAAACACTACAGAGGGAAATGCGGTCAACAAGGTCCCAAAAGGGGAAAAGAAGGTGAAAATAAATATGTATATCATGACAACTATTTATTGTGAATTGGAACTGCAAAGCAAATTTATTGTGATAAATAAAAACAAATGACGGGGCAACGAAAATAAAAATTACAACCTTATTGTCCCAGGGATCTGTACAACAAATCAAATAAGCGTATAACATGCATACACGTTACAATGATATAAGCCGGTGTAAGATTGGAAGAAATCTTGCCTCAAATTGACTCTCTCCGAAGAATAAGGCAAACAATCTTCCCGCTTACAACATTTTGCTGCAATAAAGGTCAAATTCAGAAGGTCACGACATCGTATCAAATGATGCGTATATTACATGTGGGAGCTTCATTTGGATACTTGTATGTGCAAAACATTAGGCATCGTTCGGTGCCTTGGATTGAATTGGAATTGGATTGGGTAGCTCGTAAACTCTTAAGATATATTGATTACTGAAGGTTATTGGTGAATGGTATTTACATTTTTAGGGGATTAGACATGACGGAAACTTATCCCTTACAATCCCGCCAATTTGGGAGGGAGTGGAAGGGATGAGTTTCCGTAAGAAGTAATCCATTTTCAACCTTCAATTTGGCCACAATTTGTTCATTTCTTCCTTCAACGTACCTTGAATCTAGTGGGGGTTGTGACGGTTGTCCAATCCACTTCAATCCTAGACACCAGATGAGCCCTAGTTTTGAGCAATCAGACATGTATACTATATTCTCATTAGATCTACTGATGCAATGAACTCACCTCTTCAGAACTTTCAGAAACTCAGTCATCATAAGTGCTCAGAGCAGCAACAACTGAACCGGTTGTGGCGAGAGTTGATTGCACATCGGGATGATCTTTCCAGGATGTTGTTGCCTTCAGACATGGATATAGCCAAGTCTTCATCGAATAAACAAACGAGTCTGGATCAGAGTTCAGAATGGCTTCCCAATCTACCTGTAAACCTTGTGGGATATTTCCTATGAACTCCATATTAGCAGCAAGAAATAATCCGAGCATAACAACAAACCCCACAGCAGCAGAGCCTCTTGAAAGAGGCATAAAATTGTACCTGAGACAATTACGTATGGATGTACTCTTTATTTAGAACTATATAATTTCGGAAAGACACACATGCCATATGTATGCATCAAGGTCGAATGATATACCAGTAATATGTCATCCTTAAGATCGCATCTCTCACTTTTTCAACCACGGTGAATTCATTAGATCCATAATTTTCACCGCAATAAGTGTTGCATATAGCCTGCGAATATATAGTCGAGACATGAACATTAGCTATTCATTCAGCCAAACAATTTGAAATAAATAAAGAAAAACACCATCAAGGATTGCACCAACAAGGATTGTTGATACACCGAGTGAAGGGCAAACAACAATATAAACAAATATTTTAGCATCTGTAGCTATAAAATTCTGCTCGTTGGCACCAGCCTAAAGCTCCAGTCTATCCAAGAGATTCACTCATGAAAGAAAATGTGGGATTGCATCTTAAGGTTCTGCTTAAGCAGGATATATGGTGGCTACTCAGGTACATAGTTCTGTTTATATATTAATTTATGTAGTGTTAGGAGATTCACTCATGAAAGAAAATGTGGGATTGCATCTTAAGGTTCTGCTTAAGCAGGATATATGGTGGCTACTCAGGTACATAGTTCTGTTTATATATTAATTTATGTAGTGTTAGCAGTCTGGAATGAAAAAAGTATATCATCAGGAATGCGGGATTACTAGGATTATGAGTCTTGCATAATCCAAGAAGTAATAACTCTGGGAAGGTATCAGTTTTGAGCAATATGAAAAATGAGTGTTCACAAAGTTTGCAGAAGTGAGAGAAGTATAACACTTCAAAGCACATTTTGTTTCATGAGTCAGGCTACGTTACAGGTTGGATGTACGATTAGCTAGATCAAATTCAGATGTACTCTATGCAAGATCTTGTATGAGCATTTCACTGGCCAACGCAATGCTCCGGAGATGCTATACATACAAAACTAGGGGTAGGGGATGGTAAGACGCACTTCTCATGTCTCACATTGTGATATCTGTTCTTCCCATACAAATGTATTGCTCGTATCAAGGATACAGGGAAACAACTTAAGGGATTTAGCATGTTAGATTACCCATATCTATTAAACAAAAGAAGGGACAGAAATACAGTTAAACTTATTGGCTCGCATAGAAGGGTGTAGGGTAGGGTAACATACTTCCCATGCCTTCGCCATTTCTGCATCAAATTCATCCCACCTTGAAGGCGTACAAGGTGTTCTGATTGCAAATTCATATTTGTTCTCCCCCCTGGAATAGACATTTGATACATCCAGAAATTGAAAAACGAAAATAAGTAAATAAGGTGGAAAAAATAAAAGAGAAAGTTGCAAGCCAAGGAGCAAAAGACTACATTTTTACTAGGGTAATCCTCGTTCCTTCAAGTTGCCTCCTGAAATAAGTAGCCAGTCAGAAATTAGGCGTGACATGGAATTAAAATGTAAGGACATCAATTTTAACAATATGTAATCTTACCCCTCAAAGGCAGTACTATCGCACCAAGTAGACAACCAGAAGTCCTCACCGACCACTCTGTATAAGTCAGCGCAAGATTTTGCTTGCATAATCTGCATGGATATAACTATACTAGTGAACAACTATTTACATATGAAAGAAATTATTCTTAAATGAGGGTTAAACATGAAAAAGAAAAGCAAACAGAAATTACGTATTAAAAGTGACAATATTATATATGAATTTGATAAGAGTAGTCTTCAAGTCATAACATAAGATTTTTAAGAGTATAAATATAACATTGGTGAACTCACATCTTGCAATTTCCCATCCCTGGATAAATCAATAAGGTTATCGACCTTACTATACACATAAGATCTTTCCTTCATAATAGCCTTGGCGACATTTAATGTTCTGCCACATTGACAAGTGATGAGCAATCAAGGAAAGGCAATTGTTTGAACAGTTCAATACTAAATGGTACCATTATAGACCTTCACCTTTCAAAATTTGGGAAGTAGCGAACAACTTTTGCTTGGCCTAGGATCAATGGTGTATGAGACCCAAATCCAGCATTAAACTCTTCGCTGAGTTGTGTAGAAATCCAGGTTCACATTAGAAGACAACATAGAAGAATATTTGACCATCTTATTTAATCATTAAAATGGAAATCAGATGGAATACCTTAGCTTGTTAATCCACACAACAGGATCGCATGGCTCAGAAATCTGCCGCCATTTGACAGCTATCGAATAAACCTCATGCCATGACATCATTGACCGTGCAGATGAATTAGCTTCTGTAATTCCATATGAGGTTGAGGTCTCTGAAGAGCTACTCGTACTACAACCAGCACCACCTCTATTCTGGCTGGGCAAATTAACTCTTTCCCTTCTCCGGCCTCGCTTACCAGACTTTGAGATGCTTTTATTATTAGAATATTTCCATTCCGCTTGGAAGGAACGCCATGCTTTTGAAACCTTTTGAGCAACCTCAATAGCAGCCAATCCTGCCATACGATGCTGGTAGACATAGAATATGAGAAACTTAATAAAATTATTGGTTGGTTAATTCAAAGACTTCATGGCATGGAAAACTAGACAAACAATGAAATACATTAAATTCTATGCATGCAGAGTTGAATGCTCAAAATGAGTCAACGGAAGAATGCCAAAAGCTATGACGTAATAATAACAATCTGAACGAAAAAAAAAAAAAAGTAACAAAAAAAACAATGCGGAAAAAGCTTACCTGTTTTCTTCTTAAAAAAAATATGGAAAATGCAGAATTTAAGTTTAACTTGTCTACACCAACACAATAGGTCAAAATTAACAGATTTTACAGTCAAGTACAGATATTAGCTCCTTCTTTAAAACTTGTTTGGAACAGAAAAGTTAATTCTTGTCTTTAAATTGGTTCAGTACAAAAGTAAAGTCTCAAATTACCCAACAAAAGCATGAGCACTTTCATTCATCAATTTTTGTTTGGGACAATGAGGCGGATAAACGGACCACGTAAAAGATGCTTCAGTTAATAGTGGAACCGTTCTTGATGTGCACCTCTGGTGAAATGTTTTGCAAATCTTTCAACTGAGCAATTTATTAACAGATGATATGCCATTTTCATCTTAAGTATGAGATAGGTGAAAGATTATGGGGCTTGAATGCATTGCAACATCTGCAGCTTCAATTGAATCTAACTGATCCAGATTGTTGAATTTTAGTGGGAAAAATAGAGGTGCAACTATTCCTCAGGCAATACATTTACTTAAAATGATAAAAAGTTGAAACTAGAGAAAATGGAAAAACAGGAAACAAATACAATTAAGAAGCCACAATAATTGTAGACAAACTTCAAAGTTATCCAAATCACCTGACGTCGATTCGGTAAGAAGCCAGGACTATCATATTGGATTTTCCTTCCAATTGAATCCGCAGCTTGCAGAAGAGCAGCCTTCTGCTTTGTAACTGAAAATTCTTGCTTTCGAACCTTGCCCTTCTTCAAAGATTCACGCAGGGGAGGTTGTCGATAGACCTTTTCGCATACATTCTTGGGGTGCAATCTCTTGCACCAGTACTCCTGAATATTTGATATTGAACACACAATAAACATAACGTAGGAGAATTTGGAGAAATTGGTTAATGTTCCATTTGCATGTTGATTTGTAAGAGGCTGTGTTTAACCCTCTATTTCGGAAAACATGGTTGCATTTTATAGCTAAAAGAAATAGAAGTTGTTTTTAGGTCCTCTTTGAAAGCCATGACTATTAAAGTGTGTTTGGATGAGGGACTTTAAAGTTCCAAGAAACTTAAGGCTAAATGGTTAAAAATCAGGACAAGAAGACTACCAATGCACTATTCAAGCACTATCAAGCTTCTTCTAGCACATCACAAAGAGACTAAACAAAGAACTTCCAAATGACACCTAGAAAGGTGTGTCCTTTCAAAATTCAAAGTTTTCTTAAATGTATTGCACCTAGTTATTTTCTTCCTCTTATCTAATTGTTGCAGTGCATCCTACCAAATATAGCCCAAGATCCATGTTACTTTAAAGTCCCTAATCCAAACGTGCCATTAAAGTCACAGTTAGAGTTCCCTTTTTGAAGTAATAATTTAATAACTTTAGCATGGTTATATTTAGCCTCTTTGAAGTGGAAAATATTACATCTTGAAAGTTTCAAATTTCAGCTTCAATTTCACAATTTGTCAGCTAAAAGAGATAAGGGAATAGCTTCCTGTGTAAATTTTATATTTCTCAGATGTCATTTTATACTTGATGCCTTTTGTGTAATTATTTACAATATGTCAATATGCATTTATTCAGGTATAACTGTGCCAAACAATGTAAAGTTTCTGATTTGAGAGGCATGCACTTGCTGAATGATATGTGATGCAATATTATCACAACGAACCGAGAATCAAGATCGAATATAAATTCTCAAGAGAGAATACCTTGAAAAGTGAATCAATATCTCCATCAATATCAAACCAGTAAAATTCACTGTTGATTTTTGATGCTGTGTATAGAGCAATCTCTTTCTGAAAACAAAACAAAATAACAAAGTTAAGCGTTTTAACATATAAGCAATGACTAGTTTGAGTTCAAATCAGGACATTGTCATTCATCAGTTCCCCTTGTGTGATGTCCTTGTGATTTGTCATGCATAAGTTTTCACTCATGAAAGGGATACTAATGTTTCATTCAATATGTTTGACAAAATCAAATAAAATGCGGGATGGAGCAAAGTGTCAAAGGTTTATTAAAGACATATGCTAGAACATGGAACTGCACACCAAGTTAGGCATATTACTCCGGATAAATTAAACCTGATAAAAAGCAAGGCATTGCAACACAAACTTCTCCATAGAGTCTAGCTCCAAATCAAGCACAGCATCGTAGTCCTTGACCTGTGATCAATATATAACTGAAATATGAAAAATATGTAGCTGATATTCCAAACCCAACCAACCAAAAAAATAACTTCTAATACCGCATGTCCATATTCTCCAAGGGCATGGTAGCAGGATGCCCGCAAATACAAGCACTCAATATTGGCACCCTCAATGCTCAACCCAGTTGACAAATCCTTAATAGCCTTGCTGCAGGATAGAATTCAGCAATAAATTACAGACTATTCAAAAATAGCACCATGCTGCATTTCACTAACATGATACCACAAATTCAGTCAGGCATCTCCAAGCGACATTAGCAACTTTTTCATCTATCAATATCGTCAAATGTCATCATCCTTAATATAATACTAACTACACCCAATATGTATGGAGACTAGAAAACCAAGAGTATAGCACCCCACCACAAAAAAATAAAAAAATAAAAAATAATAAAAATCAATAAAGGCTATTGTGCTTGTGGACTATTGTAGTGCCTAATTGGATTGTTGTATCACAAAAAAAAAAAAAAAATATCGTTCTTGCAACTGAGGATCACAAATTACTAAATCTATATATGATCAGTGCTTAAGTGGATTGTTGTATCACAAAAAACATATCATCCTTGCAATTGATGATCACAAATTACTAAATCTAAATATGATAAAAAAACAAAGGTAATATCCAAAAATCATTTATTCTTCAGAAGATCATGCAAACATGTTAGGAGTAATATGGTTAATGGTTACATCAGTCAACCACTGAATCCAAATATATGATTTGGTAGAACGCACCTGTGTTCTCCCATCCCATGAAGCAGGAGTCCACGCAAATGATATGCTTTGGCAAACCTTTCAGATTTAGACAAAAAAACAAAGAAAAAAAAAAAAATATATATATATATATATCTCCAATGTTAACACCAAGCACCTGAAGATCATCATAAACATTACAAACATGGATGGCTTAGTTCAGACAGAAAATGCTCACCTTCCATCAATTTGTAGAGCTTTCTGCAGACATTCCAAAGCCTTGGTTGGGTTTGCCATATCTTGATAGAACTGGAATAACCGACATGACAGAAGAACAATATTCGTTATAAGTTCTAACTGTTTGATATGTATCAACCAAAATGGCAAGTCCTATTGACTCTATGAGTAATTAGGAGTGAACTAATAAACTGCTACAAAGCATCAGTTATGAACCTATTCTTTAGATTCTAGTTTACTATGAGTACTATGTCGTCATAGAAAAATTGTCCCATATTGATTCCATGAGATTCTGCTTTTCACTATGAATGATGCCATTGGAATTGAGGATAACCAATGAAATGAACTAGGCACAAAGCTTTCTCAAACCTTGATGGAAATGCATTTGGCCTTGGTAAACAAAGAAATTTCTCATGGATACCTGGGTTAGCTGCACCCATGCCTCAAGAAAATTCTGATCCAGCTGAATTGCTTTCAAATGTGCCTCCTCAGCTTTTTTATATTCACCGATAGAAGACAATGCCAAACCCTAGGGAAGCCAATTACAATTTAGTCAAGACTAAATAGTACAAGATATATTCCAGGGTAAACAGCGTGAACAATCACTAGACAACAGAATCAACAGGAAACTGAATCTTGGAAGACTCACCAAATATGTGTAAGCAGATGTATTATCCTTGTCAAGTTTCACGCATGCAGATAGATCTTCAATGGCAGTGTAGAAGTCCTTGAACTTGAAGTTGGCAATTCCTGCAAAAATTACAATGCTACTGTCATTATCTGTCTATAAAAAAATTCGTTCTTTTTGGCTACTAATAAAAATACAGTGAATAGATTTCCCAATATGTGCAGTTCTAATGGCTATTGTGTCATAGTATTGAGGTTATCATGCAATAGTCTCTATCACTTGCATATAAATTATCATTTAATATAACTGAAGACCTCACAATCTTCAATATCAAGCTTGTCAGTTATTAGACTATCAATGTCTCTAGAAAATTGTTTGCCTGCATCATTCTTAACATCTTAACAGCACTTAATGCATCAAAAAAGACAAAACGAAATACTGAAATTCCTGTAATACAATATCATTTTGTTCATATAAAAGATGAAGGCATTATATTAGAGCATTTGAAACTGAGTCCTAAGATATGATGATTAATGAAAAGATATGGGGGTTTGAGCTAGTTACCCCTTTCGTGCAAAATGTCAGCTGAATTTGGTTCAAACTCTAATGCCTTGGACAAATCTTCAATGGCCTGGAATATGAGGGAACAGTACATGAAATATGCATGGCAGTTCTTGTCATAACAAAAAACTAGATATTTTTCTATTATTTTACCAATAATTAAGTCAAAGGAACAGTGTACGACCACGACCAAAATTTTCATTAGTTAAATTCAAAGACGATATGGTTACATGGAAAGACTAAGGTAGCATAAACACCTCAACAAATTCTCCCATGGCAGCTCGTGCTTGCCCTCTCCGTTTCCATGCCTCACAAGCTGATGGATTTGATTCCATGGCCTGAACAACATAATCAGATCAACTACTTGCATGTGAAGCCAAACTATTTTTATTCTTCTGTCAGATATTACTTAGTCAAATACCTTTGTAAAATCAGCTATCGCAGCCTCAAGTTCCCGTTGGAAAGCATAGGCTGTCCCTCTCCCTATTAGTGCCTCTGGATAGTTAGGATCCTCCTTCAATATCTGTGCATATAATTATACAAAAATGCAAATGCTCATAAAACTTGCTAATTGGCCCATAAAACAATGACCCTCTAGCCCTGTTGTTCCCTATCCGCACACCAAAAAAGAAGAAGGGAAAAGAATACAAATGGAAGTCAAAGAAAAGCAAGGAAAAGTATAGATGGGCAGGCAAACTGAAATTGCCAGAAAATGTTTAGGATGACTCGCATGGAGTGAAGCTTTACCTGGTCAAATATTGATATGGCATGAGCATACTTCCCTTCATTAACCTGTAAAAGAGTTACACTATATGTTACACAGAATATAAGGTTTAAACCACTGGAACCTCAACATAAACAATAACTGTGCTCAAACAGAAAAACCGTTACCAAATAAAGCATTATAACATACCTCTGCTATACCCCTTGATAGTCGAAAATCCACACTTATTGACTTGGTCTTTGAAAGTCTAGCAACGGAGAACTTTTTATTTTTCTTGGACTCCTCGCCAATTTCATGACGTATATCAGATTTACTACTTAGTTTAGGGGGTGTGGGAGGAGTTTCTATTAAATCACTTGACTTGCTACAAATCATAGGTAATTTACTGCATGTATCACTTAAGTCTTTGCATGATTCAGAACTTAATTTATCATGACTATCATGATTCCCATTCATTTGGCTATCAAACTTCTTACTCCCTCCGGCTTTATCACCAATTCCCTTCAATGCAACAAAATTACCATTAGACTTTCTATGGACCTCTGAGGTAACCGTTGATTCACTGCATAACTCTGATTCACCACTTAATTTATTGTCATTCTTATAAGTTTCACTAGATTTCCCATTAACATGCAGTCTTGCTTCGGATGCAAGGTTAGATGATGTTGAGTCTTTTGCTTGGTTTTCATATCCATTACTTTTGTCCTTCTTTGCAATTGTTAAAAGCTCTTCCAGTTCTAGCAACTGCTTCAAATCTGTAGACTGACGGAAGGCATGTTCATAGCCTTGCTCCCAAACCAAAAGAGCATCCTCTTTCCTTCCCAAAGCAGAAAATGCACGACCTAGACAACAAAAACCAATTCTAAGATCACAAAATGCCTGAGACCCAAGAGTACTTCATGTCGAATAAAAAAAAGCATCAACTAAGTGCACACTGTGAGTGCACAATTATGCATGTAAAGAGCCATATGATTCTAACATAATGGAATTTTAGGTCAATTATAAATGTGCTGTTTCGGAGAGAGCATGAGTGTGTACATACAAATACATACATACATACATACATACATATATATATACAATACTTTCTGTTAAATGTATTTTCGTATACAATGATATACATATATAATAATTCAATACTTTCTATTAAATGTATTTTCGTATACAATGACGGGGAGTAAGCTCCTAATTATTTGAATAACTAACTATAAAAATACATAAAATTCAAGTTCCAATTTCCGACAGAACATTCATTAAAGCATTTTGAAGTAACTTTTAGATTAACAAAAAAAAAAAATTCTATATACAAGGACCGCTACAATCAACACCGCAAGTCATCTAAACAATGCAATTGTGATTCCTTAATATCATGCTTACAAATTCTATGAACTTTTCACTCTGCATCAACTAACCACTCACTTAATCCCATATTCCATACACCTAAAATTCAAATTAAGACTACATAAAATCCATCCGGAATCTCTAATTACGAGTAACTAAACAGTTGCACAGTTAAGCTATAATCATCAGCTAATTACTCTAATAATCCTAAGTTAAAAAAAAACGATATAAACATTCCAAGTCAAATAAGAGCTCGAATTCGAGGAAAATGATCGGAGGAAAACCTTTGAGGATGTAAGCTTGAAGAAGCGCGGAATCCAGCTGAAGCGCCCTATCGCAGTCCTTAATCACGTGCTTGTGGAGCTCCAATTGGCTGTAACAGAAAGCTCTGTTGCTGCAATACACCAACATTCACAGCCACACAAAATCGATCAGAACACAATTCGATTAACAAATTGAAGATCAGTAGAAATCGAACGAGCGAGTGAGAGAGATATGGAGAGAGCGGCGGACCAGATATCTTGGATGGAGAGGACTGGGAGAGGAGGGAGTCGAGGACTCGGATGGCCTTGGACCAGTCACGTGAGCTGCAGAGCTTGGCGAGCTCCGCCCTCTCGGCGATGGCGGCCGTCATTTCTGAGTCGCCGGAGTGAGGGATCGGGATGGCGCGGGGTCTGTGAAAGTCTCGAGTTTTCTCGCTTGTGTGTGTCTGTGCCGTGTGTTCCTTTCTTCGCTTCAACGGCTCCAGCAAGAGGAGGGGTTAAAGAGGAATAGGGGTAAAATTGGGAATATGGAAAAAGTAAAAGTTGAAAACTGCGAAGGGGGGAGGAAAGAGAGGAATGGCTGTGGATGGGAGTGTGTGCCTACACGTGCGGGTCGCACGTGTTTCAAGATTTGACATGATCGGTTGTGGTTTGGCACTTTGTTTGACATTTTGTACGGTATCGACCCGGTAAAGTTGCGAACCCACAAACCTTGTTCATGTTGGATGGGCCTGATTTAATTTGGGTTCGTATGTACTTTGGACTGTTTTTCTCAGGCCCATTTTAGTTATCACAAGAAAATACAACAGATTTATATTAAAATTTACCGAACGATATGATGCAACTTTTTACTAAACACTTACCATTTATACTCCAAAACTTATTATTTTCGAAGTACATCAAAAGCAGTTTATGAAAAAACTACTACAATACTAAACTGGCCTTCAGAACTTTTATGCGATCGTTTGCTAAGGTTAGGTTGGAATATACCTTTACTCGATGACTTATGCTCTAATTGTAAAATAGGAGAATGACTTGCATCAAACATGTTTATTGTCACCTGACGCTCCAGTCCAATAATACAATATTATGTGTAAGTTTTCTTACAGGAAATTGCATTATTTTTTTTCCTTAAAAGGATTACAATTGGTGGCAAATCACGGTGATCCACCCCTTCCGGGGGCCGAGAAGACTCACAAGGGCATTTCAGCTTCCCCCTGGCCACAAGCCTGGTTTCCACACCAGCAGCGGGTTTCACACCCAAGACCTCCAATTTTTAGTTTGAAGGAAACTTCGTAATCCGTCATTTATCATTGAGCCACCAGCTCGTGGTTAAGAAATTGCATTATTAGATCGAGACATGTCATGTGTGACAGTAAACATGTAATTTTGTTCCCAAAATATGCATGTTTTGACTACAATGAATGTGGACATCCACAGATCAGCAAAGGAATGACAACATGCTATATACCATGCATGGCTCCTTGGGAACAAGCTTTCATACTTCCATGGTACAAAGTGGGAGATGTGGAACATTAACTTCCATTCCTTGTTATGACGTTGTCCATGTGTCCGATCGCATCACAAATTATCCACATAACTTAGAAGTCGAACCAACAGCCAACAAAGACAATGATTTTTGGAGATGCGTAGAAGCACAATTTACATGTAACAAATTCACTGACGATGAAAGTACATGTTCAATAATAAAGCTTGTATAATAAAGCTTGTATGTTTTGATCCAAAAAACGTTACATTATGTCATTATCGAATATGTCATTATCGAATCAAAACACCAAGTCGCACTCCACCCGAAGACCTAAACCCAAATTAACAACCCACCTACATAATCAGTTGACTTTAATTATGCCAATTACGCTTTGAAAAGTTATTACAATTACACGGCTATGTCATATCTGATGTGCCTGAGCAGCACCGGATTCACAATCTCCGGCGAGCTCAGTTGCGGAAGATGACCGTCTGACGACATGACCTCGACGATCGACTGGCCGCCAAGATTCTGGTGCAAATACTCGGACACAACCACAGGGACAGCAAGGTCTTTTACACTCTGTAATATGTGACATGGCACCGTGATCAACCCAAGCATTTGTCTCAGGTCGCTTTGGAATATGGTTTGTGCCACGCTAAGGGCAATGTCCGGCCGCATGTTGAATACGGTCCGGCTGAACTCCTGGACCGCCACCGAGTCCATGTCGCCGCCCACCGCCAGCGGCGCAAATCCGGAGCACCATGCCTTGTAGTTGGACCGGATCGCCTCGAATAGTTGCTCCAACTCTTCTTGCTCGAATCCTCCGTAGTAGTCCACGTCGTTGAGATACCTATAAAAATGTTTCATTTTAATTAGTTGAATTGTTAATTGTGTTTAGAAAGTGTAATTAAATAACATAACAATGATTGAGAAAGATTGGATTGGAGAGCCAATATACTAATCAAAAGGTAGTTGTGGGACTTCAGCTTAATTGTATAACTATTAAATTAATTAATCAATTATTTGAACAGACATGAACTAGTTTAACAAAAACAAATATATATCACATAAGAAGGTAAAATTGGAGAAATTAGTTAATAATTGATGGATCCTCTCGAACAAAGTTTCGAACAAATCAGTCTCCACTTTGTTGGACAAAGTGGGGAGAGGTCGAACTTCAAAACTCTCCAAATCACAAAAATAAAAAACTAATATCTTATTGGCAAAGGTAAATTTAGGATGATTAAGTAATTGGGTTTGTGGGACTTGAGCTGAATTCTATAATAATTGACTTCGTTTAGTTCCTAATTAATTGGATTAATTAGACGACGATATTTACCTAGGGGAGGCGGCGATCATGACGAGCTTGGTGAAGAGGTCCGGTCGGGTGATGGCGGCTATGGCTCCGATCATGCCTGAGACGGAGTGGCCGACGAATATGCATGACCCGACGCGGAGCTCCTCGAGAATGGCGAGGAGGTCGTAGGCGTAGCCTTCGAGGGTGGAGTAGCGCTCGAAGTCGAAGTATTCAGGGTTGGTGGTTCCAGCGCCCATGTTGTCGTACATAATGACGCGGTAGTCGTCGACGAGGTGGGGGACGAGGTGCTTCCAGACCGACTGATCGGTGCCGAAGCCGTGGGCCAGGACTAGGACTTGCTGACCCGACCCTAAGACGCGCACGTTGTGAGCTTCTTCCACTATTCCCATTGCGGCTCTCTGTCTCTTCTTCCGCTTTCTGTTGCTTGATTGTTGGTTAGTTTGGCTGACAGGTCCCAACTGGCACCACATATAAGAACCCTGGTGATAAGATCAGTGGGGGGAGTACTAATCAGCTACTGCTGGTGTACTGGAGCTTTCTGTGTGTTCTATTGACTGTTTTCACCCGAGTCTTTTGACAAAACTCCTAAGCTATTGGGCAATCCAATCCCCCAACCCCCAAAAATGGTTCATCCCTTCCTAATAGCCTGGGCTCCAGGGGAGCTCGACACAGCCCCCAGTCCCTAATCGCCTGGCCTGTGACTAGGTGGAGTATCGTTAAGCCGACGTCACGGTAACGTCAAGCTGACATCACGGTGGCATCAACCATGATTTTGATTATTTTGCCCCAAGCGTGTGCAATTCACTGCAAGTAAGGGCGCCTCCCTCGACAGGATTTCAAGGGTGGGCCCACATGCAGGTGCACTAAGTGGCTCCGAATTAGGGGCTAAGTGGCTCTTCCTCAACAATTGGATTTTCAACGGCTATATTTTGGGCCCAACGGCTAGACGACTTAAACACTCTGGACCATTGGATTTTATTTTATTTTTGTAATCCAATGGTCCAGATTAATTAAGTTAATAAAATTATAACAAATTATTAAAAAATTCAAACAAAAAAAATTATTTGGTGTGTTTTTGTAAGTTTATGTGTTAAAATATACCCACAAAGTACTTCCGGATAATAACATGTCGCGTTCTGAGATTAGTTAAAAATTCTATCTGAAATTAAAAATAAAATTATTTTTTAGTATGTTTCTTTGCTATTCTTTTACCTTTCTTGGTCAGAGCGATGTAGTGGGAGCTGCAAGCTTTACGTGCTCAATTTTGGCAGAGAACTTTGGCAAAGTTATCTGTGGTACCCATGAGCTAGTGTTGCGTGTGGGAAGTGGGTGATTGAACAATAAGATTCATGTGTTTTCTACTTCCTTCAGAAGTCTTCGACAGAATGCCCATAATTTCCGCAAAGCTGAGTGTGCGTGTGACAGGTGCTGACAAGGCTGGAAAAGTAGGTGCCTCTTCGATTTCTGAGATCGGCCCTCGTGGTCTCTGAGGAGCCCAGCTTTTGAGAAAGCGAGCGCCTCTTCGATTTCTGAGATCGGCCTTCGTGGTCTTTGAGCAGCCCAACTTTTGAGAAAGCAAACGCCTCTTCGATTTCTGAGATCAACCCTCGTGATCTCTAAGCAGCCCAGCTTTTGAGAAAGCAAACGCCTCTTCGATTTCTGAGCAGGCGCCTCTTCGATTTCTGAAGCTTCCGTCGAGTGCAGATTTTTATAGGGGCTGGCATTAAGTTCCAAAGCACACTTGAATCTCCACCAGTAGAAGCTCCATTCTTGCACTTCTAAGATCTTGATTTGTCCGACCTCTTCTCTCTTCAACACCTTTGAAAATGTCTGGCCCCTCCGACCGTCGTTTTGACTTGAACCTTGTTGAAGAGGCAGCCCCGCCTTCTCCAGACAACATATGGCGCCCATCCTTCGTCTCCCCTACTGGTCCTCTTACCGTTGGGGATTCCGTGATGAAGAATGATATGACCGCTGCGGTGGTGGCCAGGAACCTTCTCACTCCCAAAGATAACAGACTACTTTCCAAACGGTCTGATGAGTTAGCTGTTAAGGATTCGCTGGCTCTCAGTGTTCAGTGTGCAGGTTCTGTGTCTAATATGGCCCAACGCCTATTTGCTCGAACCCGCCAAGTTGAATCATTGGCGGCTGAAGTGATGAGTCTCAAACAGGAGATTAGAGGGCTCAAGCATGAGAATAAACAGTTGCACCGGCTCGCACATGACTATGCTACAAACATGAAGAGGAAGCTTGACCAGATGAAGGAAACTGATGGTCAGGTTTTACTTGATCATCAGAGATTTGTGGGTTTGTTCCAAAGGCATTTATTGCCTTCGTCTTCTGGGGCTGTACCGCGTAATGAAGCTCCAAATGATCAACCTCTGATGCCTCCCTCCTTCTAGGGTTCTGTCCAGTACTGAGGCTCCGAAATGATCCCCCTCCGGTGCCTTCTCTTTCTGGGGCTCTACCGACTGCTGAGACTTCTCCTAAGCAACCTTTGTGAAGGCTCCCTCTTGTTTGTTTATTTTGACTCATGTATATGTACATATTTGTAGCTTATCGGGGATATCAATAAATAAGCTTTCCTTCATTTCAACGTATTGTGTTAAATACACCAAAGCCTTCTTCGCTAAGTTCTTTGAATTTTCTTTTGTTGAAGCTTGTATGTTGAAGCTTTCTGAGTGGAGCAGCATGTAGGTTGGGGTAGTGTTCCTTTAATTTCCCGAGTGAGGAAAACTTCTCGGTTGGAGACTTGGAAAATCCAAGTCACTGAGTGGGATCGGCTATATGAATCTTAGAACGCCATTGTGCTCGATCCTGTGTCATGTCCTTCGTTAGATCCAAGTACTCTAAGTCTTTTCTTAGAGTCTCTTCCAAAGTTTTCCTAGGTCTTCCTCTACCCCTTCGGCCCTGAACCTCTGTCCCATAGTCGCATCTTCTAATCGGAGCGTCAGTAGGCCTTCTTTGCACATGTCCAAACCACCGTAACCGATTTTCTCTCATCTTTCCTTCAATTTCGGCTACTCCTACTTTACCCCGGATATCCTCATTCCTAATCTTATCCTTTCTCGTGTGCCCACACATCCAACGAAGCATCCTCATCTCCGCTACACCCATTTTGTGTACGTGTTGATGCTTTCACCGCCCAACATTCTGTGCCATACAGCATCGCCGGCCTTATTGCCGTCCTATAAAATTTTCCCTTGAGCTTCAGTGGCATACGGCGGTCACACAACACGCCGGATGCACTCTTCCACTTCATCCATCCAGCTTGTATTCTATGGTTGAGATCTCCATCTAATTCTCCGTTCTTTTGCAAGATAGATCCTAGGTAACGAAAACGGTCGCTCTTTGGTATTTCTTGATCTCCGATCCTCACCCCTAACTCGTTTTGGCCTCCATTTGCACTGAACTTGCACTCCATATATTCTGTCTTTGATCGGCTTAGGCGAAGACCTTTAGATTCCAACACTTCTCTCCAAAGGTTAAGCTTTGCATTTACCCCTTCCTGAGTTTCATCTATCAACACTATATCGTCTGCGAAAAGCATACACCAAGGAATATCATCTTGAATATGTCCTGTTAACTCATCCATTACCAACGCAAAAAGGTAAGGACTTAAGGATGAGCCTTGATGTAATCCTACAGTTATGGGAAAGCTTTCGGTTTGTCCTTCATGAGTTCTTACGGCAGTCTTTGCTCCTTCATACATATCCTTTATAGCTTGGATATATGCTACTCGTACTCCTTTCTTCTCTAAAATCCTCCAAAGAATGTCTCTTGGGACCCTATCATACGCTTTTTCCAAATCTATAAAGACCATGTGTAAATCCTTTTTCCCATCTCTATATCTTTCCATCAATCTTCGTAAGAGATAGATTGCCTCCATGGTTGAGCGCCCTGGCATGAACCCGAATTGGTTGTCCGAAACCCGTGTCTCTTGCCTCAATCTATGCTCAATGACTCTCTCCCAGAGCTTCATTGTATGACTCATTAGCTTAATACCCCTATAGTTCATGCAATTTTGTACGTCGCCCTTATTCTTGTAGATAGGCACCAAAGTGCTCGTTCGCCACTCATTTGGCATCTTCTTCGTTTTCAAAATCCTATTGAAAAGGTCAGTGAGCCATGTTATACCTGTCTCTCCCAAAACTTTCCACACTTCGATTGGTATATCGTCTGGGCCTACTTGCTTTTCTATGCTTCATCTTCTTCAAAGCTACAACCACTTCTTCCTTCCGGATTCGACGATAAAAAGAGTAGTTTCTACACTCTTCTGAGTTACTCAACTCCCCTAAAGAAGCACTCCTTTCATGTCCTTCATTGAAAAGATTATGAAAATAACCTTTCCATCTGTCTTTAACCGCGTTCTCTGTAGCAAGAACCTTTCCATCCTCATCCTTGATGCACCTCACTTGGTTTAGGTCCTTTGTCTTCTTTTCCCTTGCTCTAGCTAGTTTATAGATATCCAACTCTCCTTCTTTGGTATCTAGTCGCTTATACATATCGTCATAAGCCGCTAACTTAGCTTCTCTCACAGCTTTCTTCGCCTCTTGCTTCGCTTTTCTATACCTTTCACCATTTTCATCGGTCCTATCCTTGTATAAGGCTTTACAACATTCCTTCTTAGCCTTCACCTTTGTTTGTACCTCCTCATTCCACCACCAAGATTCCTTTTGGTGTGGGGCAAAGCCCTTTGGACTCTCCTAATACCTCTTTTGCTACTTTTCGAATACAACTAGCCATGGAATCCCACATTTGGCTAGCTTCCCCTCTCTCTATCCCACACACACTGGGTGATTACTTTCTCTTTGAAAATGACTTGTTTTTCTTCTTTTAGATTCCACCATCTAGTCCTTGGGCACTTCCAAGTTTTGTTCTTTTGTCTCACTCTTTTGATATGTACATCCATCACCAACAAGCGATGTTGATTAGCCACGCTCTCTCCTGGTATAACTTTGCAATCCTTACAAGTTATACGATCTCCTTTCCTCATTAGGAGAAAATCTATTTGTGTTTTTGACGACCCACTCTTGTAGGTGATCACATGTTCTTCTCTCTTCTTAAAGAAGGTGTTGGCTAAGAAGAGATCATATGCCATTGCAAAATCCAAGATAGCTTCCCCATCCTCGTTTCTCTCCCCAAAACCATGGCCACCATGGAAACCTCCATAGTTGCCTGTCTCCCTGCCCACGTGTCCATTTAAATCTCCTCCTATAAATAACTTCTCCGTCTGAGCAATTCCTTGCACCAAGTCTCCAAGGTCTTCCCAAAATTTCTCCTTCGAACTCTTATCCAACCCTACTTGAGGTGCGTACGGAGTCTATATTAATCAAAAAGGTAAAATTCGAAGATTTACTTATTCAACTAGATGGATGGATCCACGTTGAGCATACATGTACTAATTTAACAAAAAATTTCTCACATAAAAAACAAACGAAAAAGGTGAAATTGTAGAAAATTAGTGACAATTGACTTAATTAGGTAATCAAATTGATGGATTTGCTCGAATAAATTTTGAACGGCCTCAGTCTCTACTTTGTTGGAAGTGGCCGAGCTTTAAACTCTCCAAATCACAAAAATTAAACTTATATCTTATTGGAGAGGTAAATTTGGGATTGTGGGACTGAGTTGAATTTCAGAATATAATAATTGACTTTGATTAGTTCCTAATTAAATGGAGTAATTAGACGACGATGTAGGTTTACCTAGGGGAGGCGGCGATCATGATTAGCTTGGTGAAGAGGTCGGGTCGGGTGACTGCGGCGATGGCGCCGACCATGGCGGAGGAGGAATGGCCGACGAAGATGCATGACTTGACGTGGAGCTCCTCAAGAATGGCGAGAAGGTCGTAGGTGTAGCCTTCGAGGGTGGAGTAGCGCTCGAAGTCGAAGTATTCAGGGTTGGTGGTTCCGGCGCCCATGTTGTCGTACATAATGACGCGGTTGTCGTCGACGAGGTGGGGGACGAGGTATTTCCAGATGGACTGATCGGTGCCAATGCCGTGGGCCAGGACTAGGACTTGCTGACCCGACCCTACGACCCCCACGTTGTAAGCTTCTTCCACTATTCCCATTGCGCCTCTCTCTTTCTTCTTGCTCCCTCTGTTACTTGTTGGTTTGGTTGACAAGTAATAACTGGCACTACATATATAAGAATCCTGGTGATATGATCAGGGGGGTACTGATCAGTTACTGTTGGTGTACTGGAGCTTTCTGTATTTTATGGAGTTATATACACAAGACCATCGATTTAGGACAAATATAAGAACGCTAGTTGTAGCCTAGGAGAATTGACATGAAACAAGGACGTTAACGTGGTGGCGTTTTAATCTTTTCTTGTGACGTAAGTTAAAAACACTTGAATTTATGGCATTTTAATCTGTTCATACTTGAATTTCTTCATGGCTATAAAAAAATTTGATGCCCTTCTCTCGTTGAGAAGACCGATGCTTTTGTTTTTTTTTTTTATAACCATTTTTTTACCAAAAATTCAAATGTAAAAAAAATTAAAACACATAACACCATGTTATAAGGTTGACAAACAACGAATTTAGTGTTCCCAATTCATATTAGTCTACCTTCTGCCAAAGTCATACCTTTTTTTATTGACCATCGTAGACTCATACTTGAGGATAGAGTTTGAGAGTCAAAATCTTAGGTTCGTCTTTCTTAAATGAAAAAACAAATTGATTAATATGTTGAAATAAAAATGTGGTTGAAGGCATGAAGATGGTGAGCTTAATTGATTAATAGGCAGCTGTATCACTTAAATATCGATTTATGACCATTTTAGTTGTATAACTAAGTTAAGCTACGAGACTAGTCATAACTAGATATTGGATTATCAAACTCACTATAAATATGTGTTGTACTTGCACTCGAGTTAGACCCGAGACCTCATCTAATAAAGTAAAGAACAACAACCGCTAAATTCAAAGATGGTTTGGTGCCGATATACATATTGATTAGGCTTGTTTAGACTAAGTTTTGGTGAGTTTGATTCTTTTATCGAAGAATCATGCACCATATAATCCTTACAACATATTGTTCCAATAGTATGAGATGTGAGCTATATATATTAATTGTGAGCTATACCTTTTTTTAGTCATTCTCTTGTTGGTCAATTATTGTATATTGAACTAAACAATTTAAGTTTTGCTCTCTCCAAAAAGCTATCCCTCTTTCAACCAAACCCTAGCCGTCAACCCCTTCGCTGCTAGCTTCTGGCTATGGTTGGGGGCTGGCGGCATCGTCTCCCCTCCCTTTCCTAGCTCTTCCTCCCTTCCTCTTCCCCCTTCTTCCCCATCTTAACCATCCTCCACCCCTTGCCATTCTCGTTTCTTCCAATCTCCTCATTCCAACCCCTCATTCCCGACCTTTCCCTTCCTTCTCTCCTATCCCTTGCTTCTCTCCCACCATTTTGGGTGTATATATCCATGGATCTATGCCCTATACCTTGACCTGGGCCATGCCCTTTCAAAATTTTCTTTGATTTGGCACTTGATTTCCTAGTGTGGGGTTTAGATTTGTGCTACAGGTGGGTAGGATCCCCTCTCGTCAACTCGGTACCATGGTGGTGTCACCCTTCTCGACGGCTTCGATGCTCTTAGCTCTAGAGGATCGGCTTGGCTTGGGAGCTTGGCATGTATGTCTTATTGCGGCTCAGCTCGACTTGTGCGTGGACGCTGGCCTCCCACTGTTTGAAATTTATAAGTGGCCTTGGCATGAGTGCCTCATTCCCCTTGTTATGAGTTGTACATCAGATCCCTTCTCGGTGTAGTATAGTTCCTCTCGCCTTTATGCACCGCAATGGCTATGGTGTTTTGGCTAATTTGGTCTTCGCCTTTGTGCGTTGTGTATTGTGAGTCTCGTCTGCTAACGATGACTTTGACGTGGTCTCGCACTTTCACGATGAGTTTTTGTGTCCTCGCTATTCAACGATGACCGTTGTGTCTGCTGGTATCTCTCTGTTGCAGCTATCGTTTATTGTGACAGATCTGTACTGGTAGTTCTTGTACGTTTGGCGCTTGTGTGGTTGTGTTTGTGGGTATCTACTAGGGGTTTACTGTTATTTGTCTATTTTGTGCAAATTCATTCCAGATCAATTTACTGATCACTGGAATTATGTACCCAATGACACTCTATAATTGTTTGGTGTTGATTAATGAAAGACTATGCTACTGTTTCTTGTCAAAAAAAAAAAAAAACTAAACAATTTAAATCACTATCATAGAACTCAAAATTATAACTCAGTGTAAAAGACTCTTTATTCTATAAAACTAGCACAAAACTCAATTCTCGGGTCCACTATGAAACAATAATTATACATTGTATGTATACATTCTTTCGTATCAAAGTTCATACTAGGGGTGGGCACTTGAAACCGAAAACCGCAACCAAAACACGAACCAAATCGAACCGCACCGAACGGTTTGGTTTTGCGGTTTCAAAACGGTTTCGGTTTGAAACCGAACCGAATAGGGTAAAAACGGTTTGGTTTCGGTTTCGGCCCCGAAACCGAACCGAAACCGAAACCGCATACCTGTTTTAAATCTTAAATTCTATTGGTTATTTTCATTGAGTCCATACATTTAGTATAGACTCAACCACATCATAACATAACCCTTTATTTTCTTTCTTCAAGTCCGTGCGTAGACTGCTCTTTTTTTCTCAACTTCATCTTTATTCATCTCTCTCGGTCTCCACTCTGCGACTCTGCTGCACTCCAGACGCTCTCTCTCTCGGTCTCCCCTCTGGCCTCCTTTCCTCTTCATTCCAGGCTTTCCAGCTCCTAGCTTCTAAATTTCAAAGGTGCTAATATGGTAAGAACTATGATTTATAACTTTTTTTAGTTAAATTTACTTATAGATTTGAGATTAATTTTAGGGTTAGGTTTAGGGTTGGGTTTTGAATCAAAAGGGGATTTGGTTTTTCGTTGGTTAGTATTTGATTTTTCTTCGTTCATGAACATTAGAATGTCAATTGAAAGCATACATTTGCATATTGGTGACATGGGAATAATGGGTAGATAGGTTCCCGTTTCTGCCGAATCTGCCCAGTATAATTTATTAATTTCAGTAAATTTTTACACAAAAAATTTAATGTGCAATTGTGCTGCGTGCGTGCATACATTAATTTAGTTTTGAGAGAAGGGGGAGAGAGGTTTTGTGGCAGGGTTGGGAACGGTGGGGGTGGTGACTACCGGAGGTGAGAGAGACGCCGTGGCTTGGCTCTCTGGCTTTGTTGGGTACATTGATAAAGATCAAAGAGGTTGGCCCCATAGTCTTCATACATTCAAATCCAAAAAAGTAATGCTAGTGGATGGCTAGCAGTGCTTACTGCATTAGCGAACCCTTTTCCATATAGGGTTTATGATAGTTAATTCTTTTTGGTTGAGCTTTAGTTTGAAGAATTCGTGGTTCAAAAAAGTTATAATGCTATGCTTTTGATATGACCTAATCAAACAAAGATAAAATATGAGTTTGAAGTCATTTTATCTCTCGTGATTATTATACCTATAGGAGTTTGAAGTCATTTTATCAAGTATTCAAATATATGATGAGTTGTTCTCGGTTCTCCAATTCCTTTTAACAAAGGAAAATACTTATATGTCCGTTTGGGGTTATTTTATTGACTTACAGATTAATAAAATACTTATATGGTGAAAGGTATAGAAAAGCGAAGCAAGAGGCGAAGAAAGCTGTGAGAGAAGCTAAGTTAGCGGCTTATGACGATATGTATAAACGACTAGATACCAAAGAAGGAGAGTTGGATATCTATAAACTAGCTAGAGCAAGGGAAAAGAAGACAAGGGACCTAAACCAAGTGAGGTGCATCAAGGATGAGGATGGAAAGGTTCTTGCTACAGAGAACGCGGTTAAAGACAGATGGAAATGCTATTTTCATAATCTTTTCAATGAAGGACATGAAAGGAGTGCTTCTTTAGGGGAGTTGAGTAACTCAGAAGAGTGTAGAAACTACTCTTTTTATCGTAGAATCCGGAAGGAAGAAGTGGTTGTAGCTTTGAAGAAGATGAAGCATAGAAAAGCAGTAGGCCCAGACGATATACCAATCGAAGTGTGGAAAGTTTTGGGAGAGACAGGTATAACATGGCTCACTGACCTTTTCAATAGGATTTTGAAAACGAAGAAGATGCCAAATGAGTGGCGAACGAGCACTTTGGTGCCTATCTACAAGAATAAGGGCGACGTACAAAATTGCATGAACTATAGGGGTATTAAGCTAATGAGTCATACAATGAAGCTCTGGGAGAGAGTCATTGAGCATAGATTGAGGCAAGAGACACGGGTTTCGGACAACCAATTCGGGTTCATGCCAGGGCGCTCAACCATGGAGGCAATCTATCTCTTACGAAGATTGATGGAAAGATATAGAGATGGGAAAAAGGATTTACACATGGTCTTTATAGATTTGGAAAAAGCGTATGATAGGGTCCCAAGAGACATTCTTTGGAGGATTTTAGAGAAGAAAGGAGTACGAGTAGCATATATCCAAGCTATAAAGGATATGTATGAAGGAGCAAAGACTGCCGTAAGAACTCATGAAGGACAAACCGAAAGCTTTCCCATAACTGTAGGATTACATCAAGGCTCATCCTTAAGTCCTTACCTTTTTGCGTTGGTAATGGATGAGTTAACAGGACATATTCAAGATGATATTCCTTGGTGTATGCTTTTCGCAGACGATATAGTGTTGATAGATGAAACTCAGGAAGGGGTAAATGCAAAGCTTAACCTTTGGAGAGAAGTGTTGGAATCTAAAGGTCTTCGCCTAAGCCGATCAAAGACAGAATATATGGAGTGCAAGTTCAGTGCAAATGGAGGCCAAAACGAGTTAGGGGTGAGGATCGGAGATCAAGAAATACCAAAGAGCGACCGTTTTCGTTACCTAGGATCTATCTTGCAAAAGAACGGAGAATTAGATGGAGATCTCAACCATAGAATACAAGCTGGATGGATGAAGTGGAAGAGTGCATCCGGCGTGTTGTGTGACCGCCGTATGCCACTGAAGCTCAAGGGAAAATTTTATAGGACGGCAATAAGGCCGGCGATGC